TTTTTTTCATAAATATGGAATTTTACCTGTTCCTAACATAATGATGTTTAATAATAAATCATTTCCAATCTTTTTCAATCTCTACAACTCTTTCTCAAACTGTGATATCGACGAAATTCGGGATTTCGAAATGTCACTATACATAGTGATTTCGAAACGTCATAATTTGCGTTCATGAACAAATGTAAACAACATTATAAAGTTTTCTTGTTATTATTGAATTTGTTTTCGGAAAAAATGGAATGGTGTGAATTAGAGTTGCCAATTTGCCTAAAAGAAATACTTAGTTTCTGTGCATATGAAAGTGCAGATAGCTTGAGATTGTTAGACAAGGAGAAAATAGCAGAAATAGAAAATTATATCACAGAATCTGGCCGATGTGTTATTGAGGAGTTAGACTGTTGTCATAGTGAAAATTATAAAAAACAATGTACATTCAAGTTTCTACCTGGCCATCGATCATTTTTACTCAGTCTGACAAATTATGCTCAAAAGTTCTACGAAATAAGCATCAATCAAAATGTTGGGAAATTGAATGATCGAAACAACGAACCAAACAATGATTCCTACTCCGTAATATTGGCAGAGCTGATTAAAACTGCGCAGGCTAACGACAAAAAATCAAAACACCAAGCAAGTTATAGTGATTTAATTCGATATTTCTGTACGTTCATTTACTTAACGAGTGGGCGAGCATGTTATGAAATCTTGAGCCGAAATCTACCAATTCCATCCACAAAAACTATACGTAAGTGTGTACATGATATATGTTAAAATGTGATGTGAATGGAATCGGAATTGAAATTGACATAATCATATCTAATTGTCTTTTTTAGTGCGCTGCATTGGAAATAGCCGTGAACGTGTATACGAAGGCCAGCTACGATGTCATGAACTTTTATCGTATTTAGAGAAACTAGGGACAGATAAGATTGTATGGCTATCAGAGGACGCAGCTGCGATAACTCCGAAAGTTAATTACGATGTGGTCACCGATACATTAGTTGGATTTGTCTCGCCAATTGACACTATAACTGGATGCCCTGTACCTTTTGCTTACAAAGCCTCAACAGCCGACGATATAATCGAGCACATGAAGAAGGAAAAAGCCACCTCTGTTTATTTGATAATGGCTCAGCCACTCGATGAAAGATTTCCTCCGTTTGTTCTCCAACTTTACGGTATGAATACGACATTGACATCTCATGATATAATCAAGCGTTGGAAGTATACTAAAACTGAGCTGGCCAAGTATGGAATACGTGTTGCTGTCTGGCGATGGCGATCCCCGTCTTTTATCAGCCATGTGTCATAATTTGCTGTTTTTGCGTGAAATCGATGTTTCACAAGACTCGATACATATCGCTACGAAAATTCGTAACAGAGCCAACAATGTGGAGGAATTGCCCATGGGAAACGCTAAGGTTTCTGTGAATGATTTGAAGAAGTTGTTAAAGAAAGATAAAGCTATTCATGGCCTATGCCTAACGGACGTATCACCAGGGGATCGTCAAAATTTTGGCTCCTTTGAAAAAATAACTTCTGATCGTGTATTAAATGCCCTCAATACATATGTGCCGAACAGTCATGCGACGATTAAGTATTTGCAACTTGGCAGAGATGTTGTTGCCAGCTACCGAGATCATGATTTGGAACCTTGTCGACGTGTAGAACTAATTTGGAAGTCAGTCTACTTTCTGAGAATTTGGCGAGAATTCATAAAAACACACCCAAAATACACCCTCAAAGACAAATTCATTACATCGAATACATACAGTTGCATTGAAGTAAACGCTAGAACTCTACTATCAATAATTCGTCAATGTCGCGAAGAAAACCGCCCACAGCATTTTTTGCCAACTCTTTTTCAAAGCCAAACTTGCGAAAAGACCTTTAGGCAGCTTCGTTCCATGGGGTCCACGAATTTTACAAAGATAAATTTTTCCGTCCTCGAAGTCCTTTATATGGTTGGCCGGATTGAGGCCCAAAACCAAATTCTCCATTTTAAATTAAATGAGACAGGAGTAAAATTTCCAAAATTCGAAGTAGACCCAAGAAAAACGAAAATATTTCCAATGCCATCGGAAGAGCAAATCAGTGATGCATTGAATCGTGCCAAAATAGATGCGATTAATGAGGCAAGTGTATTTGGAATGCGCTTAGATGAAACGATCCTAGAAAATTATATTTTTCCGTACAAACGGCACATTGACGCAGAAACAGATGCAGAAACAGATTTTGAGTCGGATAATGAGCATTATTACGTAGACAATGAATCAAACAGTGATTTGGATTCAGATTTCAGCATTCGTGAATCAGATTCCGAATTGTCGGCATCTCATGAGATTGAAGAAAATATGGATTGTGAGAACGATGACGAAAAACCGTTCGTTGAAGTTGCTGATGAAAATGGAACAATGAAAAAAATAAGAAAATCGTCTTTGGTTTGGATTTTGTCGGAAAAGGGTAGCAAAATAAGCAATGATCGATTGAAAAGAGTCCAAAATATCCGCAAGAGGCCGCTGCGTAAGCGAGCGCGCCAAACAGATGACAACTAAGCGCAATACCGCTCAAATCTGTCACACGCAATAGCAAACTAGATGTTCATCGCACACTAATAGCATCATTCTCATCGTGAACAGTATTATCGAAAGACGTACAGCAATGGGTTCGTATAATTTTCGATTATTTTTTTATTAGTTTACAATTTTTTTCGAGACTGGTTGAATTTTTGTTAAATAATTCGAAATCATTTTACATAAGATATAATTTTATTTTATTTCTCATTGCACTTTTAGTGAAGACACGCTCACAAAGATTGGTTGAGAGCATGCAGAATCGTGGGTTAGCTCGTGGTCAAGATGCAAAGAAAATATCTGATCGTCGTGCAACCATAGTTGCAGAATCAAATGTTCGCCGTGAAAGTCAAGCAAAAAAAGTTGTTTCTCGTCATTCTACATCAGTTGCCGATTCGAATATTCGCCATGAACAACCGAAGAAGATTGCTACACGCCGTGTGCCAGTAGATGCAGAGCCAAGTGCTCACAACGTCCACCCAAAGAAATCTACCACTCGCCGTGCATCCGTAGTTTTAAAATCAAGTGTTCCCGATGCAAAGAAAATTAACACTCGTCGTGAAACAACAGGCCCACAATCAATTCTGCGCTAAAATGTAAAGCCGACCAAAAATGCCGCTCGTCGTGTATCATTTTCAGCCGAACACACAGTCCATTCATATCACGTTGGTGAGATGCCGAACCAGCGCGCAAACCAGTCCGAAGCACAGAATGGTGTCAAAAGAGGTCGTATGACCATCGATGAACAAATTCGTACGCAAACAAAAGGTGTTGTTGTTCGTTTGGAACGAATGTCAGATTCCAAAATAAAAGCATTGACAGAATCCAAGCAAACTTCGCCACAACAAGAAGTTGAAAAGGAATGTTTGTCCAAGAACGATTTGCCGCGCCAAGAAGAAAAGAATTCGGATCGATTGACTGTTTGCGAGGATTGTGCCAAATCGTTCGATGCTATTTTCGAGCAAAAACGCGCTGCATACGTCGCACCGTACGAAAAGTTGTTGCAGAAAGAAAAGCAGGCCGTTATGGACGCCCAGAAACAGCTCGAAGAATTGGACCAACGTTGGAATGAAGAAGCTCAGAAATTGTCTATCTTGGCTCACAAAAACGATAAGGCCATGGACAAGTGGACAGCATTGGTTCAGAAAAATTCCGACTTAAAATGGCGCGTTGAAAGTAAGGTGAATGGCGTTTCGCATGACCATGGTTATGCTTTAGCTCCGCAATAAATACATCGTGATAAATGTCATGAACATAAATATGCATTTGGATCGTGACCAAGTTTAAACATTTCTTTTACATTTACAGTTCATTATATTTATATAAATAGCACTTTTATCAAATGTTGATGGCATTAATATAAAAACAACAGATTCCATGTTGCTCTAATACTTGCTTGTTATTTTTCCAATATTTCCTATTCTTATTTCGAAAACAAATGCATCATGTCAGAAAATGAAAATTAAAGGAAACACAAGAAAATTTGGTTGACTTTATTTATTTAATAAATATAAAAAATAATCAAGTTTTTCGTCTTTTAAATTAAACTTTTGATTTGCAAGTAACATCCTATCAGACTTCTGATTTTGGCATTTTTCCTATGAACTATTCGCACTTTAGATAATGATTTCAGACTTTCGACCAACAAGAATAATTTTACTGACTTTCAGAAATTTCAATGGCAAACAAAGTTGTCTTACTCTATTTGATTTTGCGACAGCACAAAGTAAACGTTATATCATTTAAATAAATAAATAAATAATATGAGTGTAAATTCTCTTTAAGCGAACATTAAATGATTGGTTTGGTTTTGTCTTAGTTTTATCATAACTAACGAGGGTGTATTGCCATATCGACTAAGAACGACTTTCCATTGCCTAATTGGACTCTTTTGAATGTGCGTGTGGTAACAACTTCGTTATTTTTGGCTACAATCGCTTCTTCCTCAATGAGATCCAACGGAGATGAATGAACCGTGACGATGTTTTCTGTACCTATAACAAATATAAATTCGTCAAAAAATGAGGATCATATTGTAATTATTCTTGTTCAAATTGGTACCGTTTTCGTTCTGCGACTGATCAACTGTATCTTCTGATGGCTGGTGAATTTTCACATGACGCAAAACATTACTAATTGTCCATGATCCCTTGTACAGAGCGTTGATGGTAGTGCGACACTGGAAACATTGAACCGTGCATTTGGCGGTCAAATCATTGTTCAAAATGATTGTCTGTACATCATTTAGGTGCGACTCATCGAACGCCTCACTTGCGAAACCATACTTGACAGCACTTTGATTCAACTTCATCAGCAGCAGATGTTTTAATTCGGTTGATGTCATCAACTTTTTGAACTCAAGCATTGGTTTACTCTTCTTTCGCTTCACTGCATCCATATTTCGAAGTTGATCGGGAATCGACAAAATACACGTCTTGTGTCCAGGAAGAAAACGGAATCGATTTTGGTTTTTATAAGCCGCAGAATTGCAACAATCCAAACTAGCAATCACTGCTTGTCCCGTTTCAGCAAGGAAATCTTCCATCTCTGCTACGGTTTTCACATCCAAAAGCATACAACTTGATTTACTTTCATATGCTGCATAACGTAGCAGTGTTTTAATGCACAAGGGAAATTTAATGCCGCTGAAATGTTCCAATGTATCGAACACATCGTTCTCCTCCATCTCTTGCTGTTGCCGCTTTCGTTGTTTTGACTATGGATAAGTAATTGTTATTGCACACTACAGTAAAAATACATACAATAAGTAATGTAATGGCTATTACTTACCATAATTGTTGTTGTGTGTTTTTCAAACAAAAAGAGCCGGTTTACGGAGCAAAACAATTTAAAAACCATCACATCAGCAGTTTTACCCAATACCGAAAACATTTGAAACATGACATTGACATTTCGAAACACGAACCATCAATTTCGAAATACGCATTCCGCCACTTTCGAAATGTTGCTGTGCAGATTGCGCCAAATGTGAAGAAAACTTCAAAAGAGAGAACATACGAGCTCTGACTCTAGTTGACGACGCATTAAAAATGGGTAGGAAAAATTAATTCTACGTAAAAATATAAAGAAATGAAGATTTTAGTTCATATTTTTTGTGGACCAAGTGAATTATTTTCTTAAATTGGTTTTCTGTGTGTTTTAGTGCCGTGTTTATGTACATAATTTCTATTCTTATTTGTTTTCGCAGCGAGCACTCAAAATAAGGAACAACAAGCTGTTTGCCGTAATTGCGACGGTGAATTTATACGATTTATTGAAAAAAACCACAAAACAATCACGGATGCCATTTTCACCGAAATCGTAGAACAACGAAATGAATTGAAAGAAAGAAGTGATCGAATTGAAGAGCTCACAAAGCGCATGAACCATTACGTTGAAGAACAGAAAATCATGTGTGATTCATTGGAAGAACTGCTCAACAAGTGCAATCATTTGGAAAAAGAAAATGACAAATATTCCAAGGCATTAGAATCATCAGATTAATTTACAGAACGTCGTAAAGAAATAAATATAATTTTTTGTCGCACAAGCAACATTTTTCGTTATACATTATTTTGAATTTGCCACCTTTTGACAGCTCTTTGAAAACATATGTGATATGTCAATCAATCTGAATCTAAATGAATCTCTGTAGATCTATTGCAATGATTTCAACCTTCATCAATCGATTTGAATCCCAATAAATTTCTTTCGATTTATTGCAAACTTAAATTGCGTGTCTAACCCCTAGTTTTTAGCACTACATGAAATGTAGAGCTACTAATCTGCTTTTTTTTTGTCTAGATACTTTTTGAGTGTTGAAACAAATTATGGTGAATTTGAATTTTATGCTCATATTTTTTATTCAATTTAAAACAGTGGCAGTAACGACAAATAGGTGCATAATATCTTAAAGCGCCAATCAAATTTTTATTATCAAATGTTGTTTAAAAATTACATTAATTTTTCGTATAATATTTTCTGTGTCTTGAACAGAATTAAAGTGATTTTAGATTCAATGCTCATATTTTTTTATTTAATAACCAAAGGCAGTATATTTCAAAAAAGAAATAAAACTAAGATCTTGTAATTCATTTTGCAAATAAATATATTACTTCAAAGTTACTTTGATGAAATACATTTCATGTAGTGCGCCAAAAAATAGTTTGTTGTGAAACAACAAAATAGATTAAGTAACTAAAAACTCAAGAACGCAGAGCGGAGCGAAGCGAAGCTCTGTGGTCTTGTTTCTTCTGTTTCGGAAATATTGCATTTACACCACAGTTGAACTGTTTATCAATACAAAAAAATGTATGTATGTTTTCATGAGTTGAGTGATTCGATAGCATCGTGTTTGTGTTTTTTTTTCTCACAGAAATGTTCTTTGCATTTTTTTCGATTTGATATGAATATAATGGAATGCGTTCAACGATCAAAACAGCCCAACACATTTTTGGCTCAACGAAAAACGAACGAAATGAAAGCCACAAAAAAAATTAGCTACGAATCATTTTTAGAAGCTACGATTTGATGTGTATGAAAATGCGTTTCCGCGTATTTTGCGTTTTGGTTTCTTATATGCCCGTTTAAACGGAATGAAAATGAACAAATTTTACTGTACTTTTTATCTTTTCCTTTATCATAAGGGCACCGTTTGTGTTCTTTTCAAATCCTGTGTGTTATCTTTTTTTCAAACGGGATTTTTCTTGCATCGAACATATTCTTACAAAAGTGCATTATTTTTATAAGTTTCTTTCAAACTACCATCAAATCGAATGTGAATATTTTCTGCGTGAAAATTGGTTGGAACTTGTGTGTCAATGACCGGCAATTGAAAAATTAATAGGCAAGCCTTTTTGTGTCCGTTATCGTAATATCGAGTGGAACTTTGATTTGATCACTGGATTCATTTGAAAGTAAATTCACAAATTCAATGTATGAAAGTATATTTTCTAATTTTCAATCAAATTTTGTCTAATTTATCGTTTGATAGAAACAAGACGTGAAGTGTTGCATTGCCATAACGATTCTACACGGCTGTTCGTCAACGAAGGATCATTAATGAATAAGAATTCTTATTGCGTGGATTTGCTCATGAGCTCATTTATCATTATTATTGGTGCGTGCAACTGATATCAAATCGAAAGTGATATTTTCTGCGCGAAAATTTGTGAGGATTTCTATGTCAGGCACATTTTAACAGTAAATTGATACTTGCGAAGTCGTCCAAATTTGCAAATCGTCTTTTTATGGAGGTAAACCTATTGTCTATAGACATTATATTTTTCCTTGCATTTTTTCTGTATCTCATTTATGAATATTGACGCCAAATCAAATTGAATGAAATATTTTGGCCTTTTTCATTGTGTAGGCACATCGAAGGATTTATAGCGGCAACTAAGGGACCGTTTTGTGATTGTCATTGTAACATCAAGGCGAAATCTGTTTCTGTTGCTGCCCCCGTTCTGAAATCGATACATTTGAGAGCAATAAATAGAATCACGATTCTAATTCAAATTGTTGGTGGATTTGCTCATGAGCAATTTGGAAGAAAGTTGGTAAGAATTTATCATAATTGATTTGGAGAACGAAATTCTCAATAACAATTAAAACTGGCTTGGTTTTGCTTTTTAATTCAGTTTAATCTAAAAATGGCACATTCAGAACTTTCACGTCAATGTAAAACGAAAAGAGCCAGTCTTCAAAGTAACCGAACAAAGGATCATGATGATGAAAAAGACGATTCGTACGTTGATTCTGGTGATGAATACGTCCCTCCAATGAAAAAGAAATGCACAAATTGACAAAAACCAAAACCCACACGAAAAGAAAGGATTGCACGACTAAAGAAAATTTCCGAGAAATATGCCACAGATTTATCTCAGTCTGGTCCTTCTCAACAAACGAATCAAGTGGAAATTTCAAAAGAAAATGTGGTGGAAATAAGTAATATTGATCACCTATTCCTTGGAAATCACAGCGAAACGATTGACGTCGACGTTCGTACCGAGAAAGTACAAGATGTTGAAGCACATGTGCAAACTCCAAGATATCAAATTGTCCAGGAAAATGTTGAATGCATGTCCATGGACCCGGTGATGGAACTGATGTTGACAGTTCAAAGTCAAATAGAGTCATTGACTGATGAAGTCACGTTATTGCGGCGACAGTTTTGCAGACTTGAACTGAAAGCAGCTGGTCTGTCAGCTTTATCTGACGATAAAGTAGGGAATGAGGTCGACGTAATCGCAGAAGAAGATTTGCTTGATTTTAATCGCACCTTACGTCGAGAAGGACTTCCCTTGGAAACCTGTGTCGAAACCAATGATTTTGAGTTGAAGCTGAGAGATGATTCCGATTACCGAAGCAAGATTGTAAGAGCAAAAATTATGTTTTCATTCATATTAATAATGTTTACATAAAAAATTCGCAATTTAACTTGCTATGTACAATCAATGGAGTCAGCGGGAAACTTGATGGTGGAAAAATTGTCAAATCTGTTGTTGATGCCATTATTGCACCTACAAAACAATATTTGTTTTCAATGACAGGGCGATCAGGCTCGGGTTGCCAAAAAAGGCAGCCTTCAATTGCTGTACGGAAATTATTGCGCTTATATTTGCAGTTTGTCGGCGCGCTTCTTCAAAGTATTCAATGAATGAGTGCACTAAACACTTGACCTACAAAATATTCAAGCATGGCAACATGAAACGTATACGGTGAGGAAACGTGTAACATAAAAATAGCGCCAATTTAAATCATAAATTGATTAATTTATAACATTTAAAATATTTGCAGTTCACCAGAGGAAAAATTGTCTGAAAAACCATCAAATAGTGCAGTACAAAATCCAACATTTGGTGTCCTTGCAGGTGGGACTTCTCGACCAGAAGAAATTTACGTCGAAGTTGAACAAGAAAAATTGGTGTCAACACAAACTTGTCAATTATCAAATCACTTAAGTGCTCATGAGCAGCTAACCGAAACGAACTTGAATTTTAATTCAAAAGATCTCATTAAATTGTTACTTAAATTTCAAAACAAATCATGATTTTAATCAATGCAAGTTATTTTGAATTTCGGATGAAAAAAATGAAACACCATGTTCATGAATCAAATAAATAATAAGAAACAAATTCGGAACCATTGATTATTAAATATATTTGATTTGTGCAGCAAATATTTGCTTTGAAAAATGTAAATATCTATAAAAAAAATGACGTTGTAAAAATAAATGTAAACATTTGATTGAATAAATTTGCATTAAACACCAACCAATTGGTTGAGAGAATACATTGAATACAATCTTAGGATTGCAGAAAATTTTCTACAGAGCATGTCCATTTCATTTCATCTTTATCCTCGTGGATTAAATTGTTTTTAGTCGTTCTCACATAAACAATTCCTGAATTCTTTTTCAATATTGGAATATCATATGTAAATGGACCGTCGTTATGAAAAGTCAAAGTACAGGTTTTGACACATATGTCAAATCAACAGCAAACTTTCTGCCGACGTTTGACAATTGAAGTGCGCATATTCGTATTAGCATTATTGCTGCACTGTGCTTTCATGGCAAGTTTTATGCTATTAGTCCTAAAATAAAGATTTATATTTAGCTAATTCTCTACATGGGGGCTCAACAATTTACAGAAAACCCAGTAAAAGTTTAAAGAATTAAAGAATT